TTTTTCAAAAAACCATCCAAATTGGTGTGCTGTATCTATTGGAATCAATCGTAAGCCACTACTTGTAACGCAGTAACCTACGTAGTAAAGCATACCCAACCTGAATGTTAAAGCCATACTCCCAAAAAAGGAGTGTGAATTGTTCGGTTGAGCACAATTAATACGCATCATACAAGCTGTATCATCATCTAAGCTTGGACCTGGCAGCATGGCTGATCTTGGTGCACAGTTGCCGGAGAAAATGTGAGCGCTGGAGGTGTCATCACCAGAAGGGTCGGTAGTAAAATATGAACCCGAGTTTTCTTGTTATAAATCGAAAATCACCATAACCAGAAAAGGATCATTTTGATCATTTTATCAATGGCCATTTCAGGATCCTAAATTGGAGGTACCTACCATATATAAGGCCTATATAAGGCCTATGTAAGGGGATATCCCCAGAAAATATGGCCTTATATGGTACAGTACCTCCATTTTAGGATCCTGAAATTTCCATTGATTTTATGTGGACCAAAAGATTGACCCATGGTGTTTCTAGTTCTGGTTTTCCGACTGCCAAAGATCGCTGGGATGAACTGATCCCCGCTTCGCAAGCGGAGGGTTGGTGTTTCTGGTTGATTTCCAAAGATTTTCCTATGACCCATCCCTTAAAAAAATGATTCCAGGGTATCAACTACAATGTGAGGCCCCCGTTCGATAGCTAAGTTGGTGAACATAACTCCAATGCCACTATGGTTTATGGTACTTATAACGAACTAGTTACTGGGGCGAATCTAAACCAACTTATAACTGGGGGGCCTCACATTGTAGGTTATGCAATATATTTTTTGGAATAAGATTTTCCTGTCCAAAGATTCTGGGGAGATCCCAACGTGTTCCTGGGAAAAAATATCCATGCTCTCCATGTTTTCTTGATGACCCGACATTTAAATTGACATGGGCAATAAAAGTGTAGCAAAGTGTCGCAAAATCCATCACTTACATATGATGTGCTTGGTTTAAACTATATGGATTTCCAGTATCTAGATTACCTTACCTCAGCGGAAAATCCAGATTTGGATAGAGGCGTTCTAAATGTGCCGGAAGAAGCGTTGAAAAAAGTGGTGGCAAAACTACATGTTGGACAACTTGACTTAAGCATTTTGACTAGCGCAATGTGATTTGAGTTGGGTCGACTGATGTGAACTGTCTTTTTTTGTGTAGCTTAATGACTAGACCAGCATCCAGCCGCGTCCAAGCGCACCCGCACGACAGCTCTTCATCGCCTTCCTGACGGAGCATTTGGGGTTCGGCGCCTGTGGAACGAACTGCTGGAAGGAATGGTGGCTTCACTATGAAAAATGTAGATTTGAGTGATGAATTGATCATCTTCTGAATATGTCCGTGGCTTGCTATATCTTACTATAGCCCTAATTTGTGCAACAATATCTAAGGAAAGATATGCTTTAAATTTCATGGATTTGACAAGCGAACATGGGGATTCAACAACGAAAGATAGAGATTTGATTATTCAAACTAGTAAGTAGTCACTCTTGATAGGGACAAGATGGTTGAAAAGGGCACCCCAACTTTTAGACACACCTTGGTTTTTTGGTTGCAATGCGCCGGAATCTCCAGTGGAAGTATTGTAATCAATGGAGGTAAAACAATGTCATGCTTACCAAGCATGACTGGGAATGGTAATCATACCACCTATAAAAAAAACGGTGATTTGGAAGATTGTTTATTATTGTCTGGTTGGTGGTTTAGAACATTTTCTATTTTTCCATATATTGGGAATTTCATCATCCGAACTGACTTTCATATTTTTCAGAGGTTTTGAAACCACCAACAAGTTATTGCTTTACCCACAGCAATTTTTGTAAACACATGCAGCTGAGTCGAGAATGGCAGTTTGAACCGGGCCCCGTGTTTTTTTCCCCTCAAAACCCCGTGGGGTTTCCAGTCACACTGGACGCTCCAAAAAGAATCGATTTGGTGGGATCCAGAGGTGGAGAATCTGCAATTTCATCAAAAATGTGATTTCATCCCAGCCAAAAACCCATGGCTTTGGGGGGCCTGTTTCATATGAACGGATTTCCCAATTGCTGTCCCAAGTGTTCCCAATTGTTGTGGAAGACATGACTTCCCAATCTGGTTGGTGGTTTGGAACATTTGGATTATTTTTCCATATATTGGGCAGAATAATCCCAACTGATTAATATTTTTCAGAGGGGTTGAAACCACCAACCAGCAATTGTTGTTTCTTCAATTGTTGGGGTTTCGTTGATGACGTTCCATCCAAATTCCCCCGGTTTTTTCAAGGTCAACCCGTTCGTCACATGTATGATACGTGGACCTTGTCGTTTCCCCCCAGGGATAGCATGATGGTAGTGCACCTCGGTCTTGAGGCGCCAAGATGTGGGGTGAATGATTGGGTCGGTTTCTGTGAAAGTCTACAGGAAACCATGATTGTTTCACATTTGTTTACCATTCCCATATGCTCCATGTATGGTATATATTAGTATATCTACCTACAAAACTTGGTAATTTTGGACAAGGGCAAATGTTGGTGTGCATATTCCAGCACCATGGTTCGCATATGGGGTTGAAATCTAGGTGTTGAGGGCGTTGCCGGTTTCGATTTTCCCTTGAAGTCTATCCATTGAGTGAATGGTTTTTGGTTTACCTCTCCAAATCGAAACACAGATTAGGAGAATGGATGAGAATGGGGAGTATACACTGGGATTGCTTGAAACATGTGGAAGAAAACAGCACGTCAAGACAGCACATTATGGTTTGGAACACTGCTTCCCTACGTTTTTGATGGCCGTAATGTGGGGTATTCCTTCTTTTGACACAAATTCAGTCAACCATTGGCTATCTGGTTATATTCAGCCAGGACAACTAAACTGCTTGAATCCACGAACCTTCATGTGGTCAAGCAAGATTGAAAGAAGGGAACACAAACTAGTTAATGTGGTTTAAAGAATGCCATAAACTACCCATTTGGGAATGGTAATCATACCACCTACTTATGGTGATTTCGGGGATGGTTTATGATTGTTTCAAAATGAAATCATACTGCGTGTGTAGGTTTGTTTCAGTTGTTTTGGCAACAAACGCCCTGGATTGTGCGCTCATAAGCGCTCATAAATGTTGCCAGTTGCCATTTCATGATACCCTCTGGTAATTTAACATAGCTATTGAAAATGGCCCATTTATAGTTGATTTACCTATTAAAGATGGTGGATCTTTCCAGTTCGCTATGTAAAACGTTTACCAGAGGGTAGATTTTCCATGAGATGACTGGCAATAGTGAGTTCATCACTGGGTCGATCAAGGGGTTCCGTTGATGTGGGATTCTTCATCAGGTCATCAGGTCCCAATGGTCGAAAGTGGTGATTACCCAATGAATACAATGTGGGGGCCCCAAACGTTATGTTTGTTGGTTTATAAATCCCAGTAACTAGTTCGTTATAAGTATCATAAACCATAGTCATTATGAATTATGGTTATAAACCAACTTGGCTATCTAGGGGGGCCCACACTGTACAGTGGACATGTTTTTTCTATAAAGGGGTGATACCTCCGAAATCGGTCTTGATTGTTTTTTCCTGGCATTACAGGTTAGCATGCTGAAATCATACGGCGCCATATAGACATCAACCTTTTCTCACCATGGAAATAGTGGTCAAGGCATTGCCACACGAAATCGTAACATTATCCCATGGGACCAGCGGGACGTTCATTTTGTGTAGCACCTCATTTTTTTTTATGTTTGGCTGAAGGAGCAACAACCACCCGCAGATTTGAAAAAGCCATCCCATGGCTCCATTCGGCAGTGATTCAAGATGTCAGATCATCCAAGTGATTCAATAGTTGGACTGGGACGGGTGGTTTCAATAACCAAAACACCCCGTGAAACGACCCAACATGACCCAACGTTCAATTCTCAAACATTGGTTTATGGCTTTTGACCCAATGAAATACCATCTTTGTAGGGATGACTATCCATATGTCTGGGTAAATGCCATAACGACCGAACCCTGTTCTCGCTCACTGGAAATCATAGTTTATTTTAGGGGAATCATCCCCAAATGGCCCAACAATTCAGGTTAGTTAGTGAAATATTATTATTTACCCAGATAGTTGGAAGTTTGAAATAAAACATAACTGGTTGGTGGTTTCAAACATGAATTTTATTTTCCATTTCATATATGGGATAATCCCAACCCCATTGACTAATATGTTCTAAGATGGTTAAAACCACCAACCAGCAAATATTCACTGCTAAAACAGCAAATATTCATTGCTTAAACCAGCAAATATGCATTGCAAATATTCATTGCTTAGATAATCCTTATGAATACCATCTGACTGATCGTCAAAATGGTTCAACTTATACTAATGTTTACAAATCCCATATGCGAACCATGGTGCTGGTATATTTACCTACATTTGCCCGAACAAAATCATCCAGTTTTGTAGGTAGATATACTAGCACCATGGTTCGCATATGGGATATGAGAATATAACATCTCGATATTTATGGAAAATCACCATATGCTATTAATGGGAAAATCAGTTATTTCGACTGGGCCATTTTCAATAGCTATGTTTGACATTACCAGAGTAATATTAAGCAATACAAAGGATAAATGTGTGGGAAACTTACCCATCTAACTGATGGCCATTTACAACATGGGGAATATCTACAACTAGTGGGAAAATCACCAATTCATGGGAAAATCAACAATTTCGACTGGGCCATTTTCCAGTTAGGCTATGTCAAACAACATAACCAGAGGCTACAAATATCCTACCCTCTGGTAAACTGTCACATAACTATGGAAAATCACCATTTTCAATGGGAAAATCCACTATAAATGGTCATTTTCAATAGCTATGTCAGCTATTACCAGAGGGTACAAATATTGTTTCATCCTTGGAGAATACCTTTGGCCCATCGGCTACGACCACGACCTCGACCTCCGTGCGCCGCGCAGCATTCCAGCGCCATGTCGTCGCTTCCGGCGGACCGCAGCGCCGTGGCCCTGCGATCCGCGGGCTCGGTGCTGATCTGTTGGGTCTTTGGGACGAGACTTGGAAAAAAAAACGACTCGGGGCCCGGGACGGGACGGGGACTTCGGTGGATGGGCCAGCGAAATCCAATAAACCACCAATTTTGCATGGTTGAAACATGTTGAAACCCTAGAAATAATGGGATGTTTACCATCTATCAACTGCAGGATTTCGCAACCATCCACGGTAGGTGGCTTCGTTTTAAAGAAAAACTCATAGATTCTGCCATAGATGTACTTCTGGTTGGTGGTGACTGGAACATGAATTTTATTTTTCCATATATTATATATTGGGAATCCTGCTGGTTGGTGCAGCACCTGGGAATAATTTTATGACTTTCCATTCAGTTGGGAGTTTTTATCATCCCAACTGACGAACTCACTCCATCATTTTTCAGAGGGGTGGCGAAAAACCACCAACCAGACTGCCATAGATTCTGATTTATTTTTGGGATGATCCAGACTTTTTGTTGTCCCTGTTTTTTGTGTGCAGAAATTGGCCATGAATTTGGCCATCAAAAGTAGCACACGATGTCAAAATGGTGATTTATATAACCATTAGTGGAAATGGATATGTCTGAAATGGATGTGAAATCCTCGATTGTCAAGCTATGATAACTTGAAACAATTTATGGCAAAAAGGAAGGGATACACTTTGCTCGAGTTTGTCTAAACGCAAATCAAGTAACCCATATGCGAACCATGGTGCTGGTATATGCACACCAACATTTGCCCTTGTCCAAAATCACCCAGTTTTGTAGGTTTTTATATACTAGCACCATGGTTCGCATATGGGATATGAGAGTATAACATCTCGATATTTATGGACAATCACCATGCTATTAATGGGAAAATCAACTATTTCGACTGGGCCATTTTCAATAGCTATTTTGACATTACCAGAGTAATATTAAGCAATACTACAATGTGGGGCCCCCTAGATAGCTAAGTTGGTTTATAACTCCAATAACTATGGTTTATTGTACTTATAACTATAGTTAATGGGGTCTATAAACCCACTTATAACTGGGGGGGGCCGCATTGTAAGGATCAATTTGTGGGAAACTTACCCATCTAACTGATGGCCATTTACAACATGGGGAATGTGATTTCAGACGTGCTGGCTGCAAGGCACAGTCGGTGCTGGCTGCAAGGCACCCCCCTATTGGTTGATAATTCGTTGGGGGGATCATAGTATCCACTGTGGTTTATTCTATCAATAGGTTGATAATTATATAGTTGATAATTAGTTGATAATTAGTTGATTTTTTTAAGTATCATTTATTGGTTGATAATTAGTTCAATGTGGTTGATTCTTTCACTTTGGGGGACTTTCCCCATCTATGAACTGTGGTTTAACGGTTTACCCGGTAGAATTACTTCCCTTGTTGTACAGATGCTGGGGCACGTTGCGGGTCAGAGTGGTTTGCTAGCCATGTATTCAAAATAGCCAGCTTGGCCGTAGTTCCCATGCTGTTACCTTAAATAGCCACAGCATGGAGCGCCGCAGAACCATGCAAAGGATCAGTGTGAAATCCTATGGGGACTACGTATGGGGACACCGAAAACCACTGGGGAATAGAGTCGTAATTCATATGGCGTGATGTGCTGCTCATGCGGATCATCAATGGACTAATTCCGCGGATTCGTTGTGCCTCACTGTGAGACGGATCATGGTGATCCTCTTCCTTTGCGGGGTAGTCATTATCCGTTACACTACGTACCCAATACCCTCTGGTAAACCTACAAAAAACGAACTGGAAAATCACCATTTTTAATGGGTAAATCAACTATTTCTATGGCCATTTTCAATAGCAAATTGTTAGTTTACCAGAGGGTAAATTGGAAATACCCTCTGAGTGGTCCATTAGACAAGTATTTGTCGGATAGAATCTGAACGGCAGATGCTCCACGGCTGGTTCGGGTCCTTCGGGTCTGCAAGCCATGTTCAATTTCAGAAATCAATTGATATTATCCACTATTATGGCTATTATCCTATAAGAATTATGGGATATTCACTGGGATAATAATTGATTTTTATCAATTGATAATATCCACTAATATGATTATCCCATTATTAACCATTATTATCCATTATTATCCATTATTATCCCATTATTATCCATTACTATCCACTACTATAGCCCATGAATATTGCAATGTTCATGGTGATGTTCACCAGCCCAATGAGTGAGCGGCTCAAGTTTCATGACATGGCTGGAAATTCCAGCAGTGAGCTCGCTAATTTTTTTACCTAGAAATCACCATAGACTGTTCGGGGATTTTCAATCTAGCCGTGTTTGATGACACCTGAGGGTAAAGCCATGAATATCCCATGATTCTCCCATGAATATCCCATGATTGTTTAAGATGGTGTCATTCTCTGGTTGGTGGTTTGGAACATGTTTTATTTTTCCATATATTGGGAATTTCATCATCCCAACTGTTCAACTGACTAATATTTTTCAGAGGGGTCGAAACCACCAACCAGCTATTATGCATCATGACAACCCTTTACAGTGGGTCAACTTTTTTTTGACATACTTTCGTACTTCTTGTTCTGTTGCAATGGTAAAATTAGAGTCCCAACCAATTTTCTAACCAGCTCAAAAATCTTGTTTTTGTTGACAGATATCTATCTAAGATATTCCAAGATTTGTTGACAGGTATCTAAGATATTCTAAGATTTGTTGACAGGTATCTAAGATATTCTAAGATTCACCATTCATATGCCATTCTTATCCATTCTCCATAAACCCAGAATATGGGCTCGAGTCCCCCAGGATGGCGGCAGTGAACTTTAAGCACGTCTCTCACTTGATGGTGCCATGGCTGCGCCGAGGGTGGCCCCTGAAGTCCACTGAAGTCCGGAAGTGACAGCACTTGAAAAATCCTGCGCTTTGACCAGAGCACTCCTACTTGAAACCAGGATGTGTCAACCCCTAGAAAAGCCTAAAAACAGAGGAGCCGCACCTGTATTTGAAAACACTGCGGAAGTGGGTGGAACAAACGCGATAGACCACATAGCATGTTCCATCTTTCATGTTTTTTTCAGCCAGGATTTTAACACTGGGTGTGTTTAAGGTGTACATTTGTCTTAACACCTGTTTACCTTTCACTCGTGGAATTTTTGGACATTCAGGGGATGCCCCGCGAATTGCCTGGAGTCTACTTATTGTGCTTGCGGAGATGTGATAGAATTCCTGGATTTTCCCAGATGTGTTAAATGATGTTACACATGGAGATTCTGGAGAAAGCCCAGAAGTCATGTTGTGCTCGCAAATCCCAGTTGTTTCCTGATGTTTCCAGTGGTGTTCCCCCAATGCCCCGACCATTCTGGTGATCTTGTATAGAAGAGGAACATGGCATCAGGAACAGGAGACATGGAGATGGTGGAAATTTTTGGGCCCAGGGCATCCATGAAAATCATCAAAGAGCGCTTCCCGAAGCATGAAGATGGTCTTGAATTGGCTTACTGGTGCGTTTTACGCAGGGAATGGATGGGTTGCTGGGGGTTGCTGGGATGATGACATTACTAGTGAAAATTCCCTGCGTTTAGCACCAGTAAGTTAATGTTAGCCAATGTGGTCAACAATTTATTTGTTACTTCATATGGTTATTGGGACTGGGTTATTTCATATGGTTATTAATGTTAGACAATAATAAACCAACCGTAATGGAGGCCATATTTTTTCGGGCCTCGAAGCGAAGCTGTTGATGCTCCCCACAACGAAAGGGGCCGCAGATCCAGATGTTGTCCAAATACGTGTTTTACCCTCTGGTAAACTAACATAACTATGGAAAATCACAATTGTTAATGGGAAAATCCGCTATAAATAGCCATTTTCAATAGCTATGTTAAATTACCAGAGGGTAAATATGGTCGGTGCTTCAACTACCCTCTGGCAACTTAACAGTTTGCGAACTGGAAAATGGCCCAGTCGAAATAGTTGATTTACCCAGCTATAAAATGGTGGTTTTCCATAGTTTTTTGTAGGTTTACCAGAGGGTATGTCTGATCTTTAATCCTAGGGTTCAACATGGGATGAAGGTCCCAAAATTGACGAACTCCTATTTTTCAGGGTGGTGAATAAACCACCAGCCAGGTTCATATCGTTGGTGATATATCCCTATTACATATCCTAATACCCTACTATCTCCCCATCTATAGATGATGTGTCCAATTTTGCAACCTACATGTACCATTCTCTATAATCAGAACATGTGTAAATGATATATGACCACTCATATTCCCATATATTCCCATATATTCCCACAATGTCAGGCCCCCGTTCGATAGCTAAGTTGGGGTTCACATAACTCCAATGTCACTATGGTGTATGGTACTTATAACTATAGTTACTGGGGCTTATAACGAATTTATAACTGGTTTGTTTATAATTCCAATAACTATTGTTTATGACCATATTTAGTGGGGTTTATAAACCAACTTATAACGTTTGGGGGCCTCACATTGTATGACTCCCATGAATCCGCAGGTAGCACTGGCCTGTGTGGTCAGTTTCGCCACTCCGATGAACCTGCTGGGCGACACCTGTCGTAATGCCTTCATCTGGGCATCTCGGGCTGGACGTTGACTGAGCTGGGCAAATCATGGAAACACAGCTGGGCAACTTTTTTTAGTTGTTCGCAAGTGGTTTATCACTGCATATATCCCATGTCATTAAATAGCTGGAATATTTGATATTAAGATTATATATATATATATAAGCACTTGCAACTGGAGTTGAGGATGCTTTTGGGAACCCGCCATGACTTTCCGCTTGAACACTCTTGAACATTCTTGAGCATTTCAAGATTTCTGGTTGGTGGCTGTGAATCTGAGATGACTGGCACTGCAATTCAAATGATGCATACATGTGTATCTCATATTTATATATATATATAGAGATTATAGTACATTACATGTGGTATACTACATGATATTATATAATTTATTGTACTATAGTGTACTATACCATTGTATATTATCATAGAAAATGTGTTTGTATTCTACACCCTATTCATAATATTATATTATACTATACATACTACTAGTGTACTATATTATAATATCATATAATATCATATTACCCATATGCTCCATGGTGCTGGTACATTTACCTACAAAACTTGGTGATTTTGGACGTTCGGGCAGTTCTGTAGGTAAGTGCATATTCCAGCACCATGGTGAGCTAATATGGGTTATGCAATGGATGTATTTGCCTTGGGTGAGTCATTCCTCGACGATTTTCTGAGGCCTCCTCCATTACAGTTCTGACACCGCTGGGGCTGGGTTGCTGTTCCTTTCTCGCAGCCGACCTTGGTTTGGCCAGAAAGGTGGTGGATTTTCGGGGAAATCCACCAGAAATGGGGAATCGATGAAGGGAAGATTGTTTTTGCAGTTTGCCCCGGAAAACGGAAAATCCAAGTTCAATGGGAATGGATCAAAACCAAACCAATCTTAGGTCAACTAGTTCAATGTATGAAGTCCCGTTGGGGCTAAGGACCCTTATTACTTTGCTGTGATAAATCAGGGTAGGGTTTTGAACCATAGCCATGTGACTGATTTTTTTGGGTTATATGAACAGGTTTCATGAGGATATGATTAATATGCTATAGTTCCAAATGCCAATCATACTGTTGATGGGCCAGCGAAATCCTGCATCACCTTAAGGATGGTTGAAATTCTACAATGTGAGGCCCCCAAGATAGCTAAGTTGGTTTATAACTCCAATAACTATGGTTTATGGTACTCATAAATATAGTTACTGGGGCTTATAGACCAACTTATAACTGGGGGGCCTCACATTGTAGAAATAATGGGATCTTTACCACCTCTCAACTGGTGAGAACCAGATTTCGCAACGGCCCATCCACCGTTTGGTAAGGTCACCAGGTTATATACTTGAGATTGAACCGTCAAGAACGGAGATTTTCCATCCCCTTTTTTCCATACCCGGCCTGGTAAACTGTCACATAGCTATGGAAAATCACCATTTTTAATGGGAAAATCAACTATTTCTATGGCCATTTTCAATAGCTATTTGTATGTTTACCAGAGGGTATTCAACCCCCACACATGCGGCAAGTTGGCCTAACGGTTACGACGTCCGGGACGACGTCCGGGACTGGTATCAATCCAATGTAGCTGTCCCCTGTGATAAATTTCCTTCAGAAACCTTGGTTTAGGTGGTGAGATTTAGATTCTTAAGATGTGTTTATTTGCATCCAAAAAAGATTGAAGTTCGTTGGGGGTTTCCATAAATGGGGGTACCCCTAGTTCTCATCCATTTATAGATGGATTTTCCCTAACAAAAACCATCCAGCGATAAAGGGGTACCCCTATTTACGGAAACCCCGCTCTCCATGATGTTCGAACAATGAAGGTCCCAGAATTTCAGACCTCCCGACGAAGCACTGCATTGAAAGCACCTCCAATTTTTGGGATGTTTTAAAAGTTGTCGCTTTTCACCAAGCAGCAAGCTGGTTGGTGGTTTTGGAACATTTGGTATATTTTTCCATTCAGTTGGGAATGTCATTTTATCCCAACTGACTCCATCATTTTTCACAGGGGTAGGTAGGTATACCACCAACCAGATATGGTAAAGCATATTATAAACCATATTAAACCCTATTAAACCATATTAAATCCATCAGAGGGGTATGGTGGCTCAACCACCAAGCAGCAAGGCTTCAGAAACGAAGCTTCACTGATTCCGAGATCCGAGGCTATTTGTGTTTTCTGATTGGTGGACTACAGTGGAATCTCTGGGTCCTTGCTGTAGGTGCGGGTTGCTTCGCGATCCCCAACCGACTGGATGACTTTTTATGGGTAGTTTAAGCCTTTTTTACGTTTCTTGCCGTGGAAAATTTCAGCAAAACCGGTACCCTCTGGTAAACTATAACATAACTATGGAAAATCACCATTTTTAATTTAATGGGTAAATCAACTATAAATGGCCATTTTCAATAGCTATGTTAGTTTACCAAAGGGTAAGCAAAACCGGTAACAGATGACTTTTTCGTGGACGATCAACGATTCAACGATTGACCAAATTCCATGGCATCTATGATATATGTCTCCATGGCTTTCATAGCTACGTTAGTTGAAGTGCTTCATTTTTTTTCCAGCGACAAAATTTGGGTCATCTTGACCTAAGCCCAAGCCGGGTGCCATCGGGTGCCCCCTTTTGTTTAGGTGACATGTTTGTTGGTTTTCGAACTTCCTTCAATTAATTTCAGATAGATCTCGTATTTACACCATCTCAGTCGCAGCTTTAGCAGTCCATGCCACTGATGATGACCAGAGCTGATTCAAAAATGGGGGCTACCGATTCGTCATTGGAAAAACCCAAATATGGATGCTTCATGGAAAATCCATCGAATCTATAAGGTGATGACTGTGGGTACCCCCATGACGAATCGGAACCCCCCCTTTTTTGTTGTTTGTGGATCGAAACCACCAAGAATATGTTTCAGGATGGTGAATCATTGAAAAAACAGCATCATTCAACCAGTTCCAATCAGGTTCAGAAAGAGGGTTGTGTTTGCAAAGAAGCTGTCCCAGACAGCCATTAGTGAATCATCATAAAAGTTGTCCCTTGAAATTTGCCAGTAGATCGTGTGTGAAAAACATGTTACGGACAGACCCAACTCACATTGTTAACTATCCCATATGCTCCATGTATGGTCTATTTACCTACAAAACTAGGTGATTTTGGACAAGGGCAAATGTAGGTAAGTGCATATTCCAGCACCATGGTGAGCTAATATGGGTATATATCACCATCGCTATTTCGCATAAAACTCATGATATATCCCCTGGTTAAAACTGCCAAGATTCAGACGGGACTTCAATGTGGATGGCCATTTTGTGCTATGTTGACGATTTGCTTGTGGTGTCACCGGACCCCAGAGCTCCCGACGCAGTTCAACGTATCTTGAAGACCAAGGTAGCCAAAGTAAAAATCACTGGACATATCATATACCACCAAATTCCTCTGGTGAGCTTGAGTTTTTGGGAAGGGAAATCATTCGAGATGAAGACGATTTGACATGTCTTCGAGTGCGAGTGGGTTTCAGCAGCAATACACCTTCTGCTGAAGCGGTGAAAGCATTTTTGACTTTGGGATCACAGCCATCAATGGGCACATGTACTCAACGAGTACCAGCCAGTATTTGCTGATTTGTATCAAGCCTTGAACGGGTTGCGTTGTGCAAGTAGAGCATGGTTGAATATGGTTCTCCATGGTTAGTAAATAGCAACGATTTTTTGGAATTTTGAATGATCTGGGAATTTCAAGACCATATAAATACAATATATATATATATATCATTGATACAATTATTTCAAGACCATATAATACATGGTAGAATTTTATATCCGGACCATATATACAATACGGGGTGTCCTGTGACATGTTTCCATGTCCAGAAAAATTGGGCCTTGCATAGTCCGTAGATTCTAGTTACCTAGCCGTCGGAGACATCAGACATGGCTTCATGTCAATGGCCATTTCAGGCCTATGTACACAAAATATGGCCAGAAATATGGTACTAACGTACCTCCAATTTAGGATCCTGAAATTCCCATTGATCATGGGGAATCCCCGAACTAGATAGAGGTTTCCAGCTGTGAGAATCATCCAGGCTTTTAATGGTGGATTTTCCAGCAAACCGTGCTGGATAGGATGGGTAATTTTTACGGTATCCCAATGATGAAAATCAATAAGCCATGGTTAATGGCTGATAGGATTCATCAACATTCATCAACCATGTTGTTTTTGAAAAAAAACACAGTAATCACGATTTTTGCTTTTGTTCCACCGTTCTGTAGCTTTCAAACCACCGATTTTCAGCCTTGGACAGGTCTAGGAGCTACCGTGCTGTTGGGAGTGCTGTGGAGTTTTTCCGCCGCGCACCTCCATTCACCGCGCATGATGTGCCTTGTTCGCGATGCAAACAACGCGACTTGACACGACTCTTTCTGTAGTAGTTTCAATCTGCAGAATCAGAGTGATTTAGCCGCCTGGGACCATACAGATATGGAAAACGTTTTCCATGCTTTCCCCAAGATTGTTTCGTCTGTAAATGGTTGATTTTCCATAGCCATGTTAGAAGCACATCGTACCATATCAGCTTAACATCATCCCCATCTCAACCACAGCCTCAGCTTAGACGCCACAAACGACTCACCAGCTGACTGGACCTCATCTTGATCTATGAGATCTGAAATAAAAAAAAGCCTCAACACATAGAAATCATTTGATAATCATGGGATAATCATGGGATCATGTTTGTTTCTAGTTCATGTTATCCCACTATTCCATAATTATCCCATAATTATCCCATAGTTATCCCATAACTATCCCACCATCCCAGTGTTCAATCCTTCCCAAGACGGAGCCCGCTGAGATCAGGTTGGCCGGGAACTCCGCCACGGTGGTGATCTGCATTCTTCCACTAGCTTTGGTCCTGGGGGGTCTGATACTGGGCAAATGCCAAGGCTAAAGTGTTGTGGTACCCTCCGGTAAACTAATGCAGTTTACGAACTGGAAAATTACCATTTATAATAGGTAGATCATGGTAGATCAACGATTTCTATGGGCCAATTTCCATAACTATGGAAAATCACCATGTTTAATGGGAAAACCCAATTTCCATAACGGAAAATCACCATGTTTAATGGGAAAACTCAGCTATTTCGACTGGGCCATGGATTCTACATACTTTTTGTAAACGTTTACCAGGCCGGGTGGAGAATCCTGGGATAGTGGGATGGTCATGGAATAAGCTTCATGGTAAACCCAACTATAACTGGGGTATAACCTTATGGTTGCAATACCGGGATGATCACTGGATATTAATGAATAAGGTTATGAATTGGGATGATCATCCTATTAATCATTGGATATCCTATTAACTGGGATATTAATGAGTTAACAATCAGTTAATAGGATATTAATGGCATATAAATGGATTTATCCTTTGGTAATCAAACATTTCATGCTGGAAAATTGGAGAATCCGCCATGTTTAAAGCCTGCATTTATGTGTGATGTCCACTTGAACAAGCAAAATCACCTTGGGGACTTCCTCGTTGCCGTGGCCTTCATAGCCTTTGCTGCACTATGCTATGGTGGTGGCTGGCTGCACGGCTGGTGGACGGGGCGCAACTACATCCTGCACCGACGACACGTGAGGTCAGACAGACTTCAAAGGGAGCTGCGAGAAGTACTCGACCTACAAGGCCAAGTGGGGCAGAGTCATGGACAACCGGCTGCGACGGGAAATACTGCCAGCAGGCCCTATCACGGCTGACAGGGAGATCAAACAGCTCCAAGCTCAAGTGCGCAACCTGGAGCAGTCCTTCTGGTGGTAAACCCAATGATAGACCATCCCGTTCACCACCAGTTGGGGCTATTCTAGATCATCCCAAACACTGGGGGGTACCCTCTGGTAATAGAAACAGAGGTACCATAGAAATAGTTGATTTTCCGATTCAAAATGGTGATGTTCCATACTTATGTTAGTTTACCAATAATGGTTATTCGAAGGAAGTTTAGAAGTCAAACTTCCGACAATATGGAAAGATGAAAAAGCAGTCAGCAGGGAGAAGAGTCAGAAGAGAAAAGATCAGAAGAAAGAAGATGCAGGTGCGCGAAAAGATAGGAAAGTCGCGAAAAACTGTGTTTTTTCGTGGTTTTGTGGCTCCGGAGGTTGAAAAGTAGGCTCGCTAAAGCGGCGGGTGCGGAGACATCTGGGGAGATGAGAGATGAAAAGTTGCACGCCGTTGTGGCGCGAAGCCGATTTCGAAGTGAAAAGGTACAAAACACCTCAGTGTCGGACCACTTTTGGAAGTTGAGATGTTGAAAAAGTGCACGCCGTTGTGGCGCGAAGCACATTTGGAAGTAAAATGTGTTAAAAACTGAGGGGTTCGGAGCAGTTTTGGAAGTTGAGATGTTGAAAAAGTGCAGGTCGTTGTGGCGCGAAGCACATTTCGAAGTCAAAATGTACAAAACACTTCAGCGCCGGACCACTTTTGGAAGTTGAGATGTTGAAAAAGTGCACGCCGTTGTGGCGCGAAGCCGATTTCGAAGTGAAAATGTGCAAAACACACCATTCTCGGACCACTTTTGGAAGTTGAGATGTTGAAAAAGTGCACGCCGTTGTAGCGCGAAGCACATTTCCAAGTCAAAATGTACAAAACACCTCAGTGTCGGACGACTTTTGGAAGTTGCGATGTCGAAAATGTGCACGCCGTTGTAGCGCGAAGCACATTTCCAAGTCAAAATGTACAAAACACCTCAGTGTCGGACGACTTTTGGAAGTTGCGATGTCGAAAATGTGCACGCTGTTGTGGCGCGAAGCACATTTGGAAGTCAAAATGTTAAAAACACCAGGGGTTCGGACCACTTTTGGAAGTTCAGATGTCGCTTCGCTTCGCTTCACTACACTACTACATTACACTACACTACGCTAACCTCCACTACACTACACTACACTCCACAACACTACAACTACAACTACACAACTACACTCCACTACTTTACACTACACTACACTACCTTCCACTACACTTCTACATTACACTACACTACACTCCACTACACTACACTACATTACGCTACACTATACACTACCTTCCACTAGACTTCACTACATTACACTACACTACACTCCACAACACTACAACTACAACTACACAACTACACAACTACACTCCACTACACTCCACTACACTACACTACACTCCACTACACTACACTACATTACACTACACTACACTACCTTCCACTACACTTCACTACATTACACTACACTACACTACACTCCACTACAACTACAACTACAACTACAACTACAAAACTACACTCCACTACACTCCACTACACTAAATTACACTACACTTGACTACATTACACTACACTCCACTACACTACACTACATTACATTACACTACACTACACTCAACTACACTACAACTACAACTACACTCCACTACACTAAATTACACTACACTACGCTACGTTACACTACACTACACTACATTCCACTACACTACACTACACTACATTACACTGAATGACGCTGCACCACAGATAGACAGGTAGATAGATAGACAGATAGATAGACAGATAAACAGGTAGACAGCTAGACAGATAGACAGATGAAAGAGAGAGAGAGAGAGGGAGAGATAGATAGATAGATAGATAGATCGATAGATAGATAGATAGATAGATAGGTAGATAGATAGATAGATAGATGGATAGATAGATAGATAGGTAGATAGATCGATAGATACATAGGTAGATAGATAGGTAGGTAGGTAGATAGTCAGGGAAAGAGAGAGAAAGAGAGGAAACATCAATCACCTTTCGATCCATCAGTGGCTTCGCTCTGCCATCCATGATTCACAACAACCAACCTTTCCTATAGGTTTTCTATTTTTGAAACTTCCGCCACCGCCTTGTGCGGTACTACTGGTGATGGAATATCATTGGGAATATCCATGGTTGATAATGGTGATTAATGGGAAACAACCAAGAATCATGGATGAATAGTGGATAATGGGGATATACACTCTGGTAAACATACAAAAAGCTATTGAAAATGACCCAGTCGAATGAGTTGATTTTCCCATTCAAAATGGTGATGTTCCATAGTTATGTTAGTTTACCAGAGGGTACAAGGTCTGTTTTTCTAACTTTTACGATGTCCAATTTTGGCCTGGAAAGTCTTCTTGGTCAAATCTTAAGCTTTGCCAATATCCATAGGGACATTGCAGTGTCACTTTTTTTTGCCAACTATATAGTTTTGAGTGCGAAAACGCGCAGTGAATATTCAAAATGTGTGCGTTTGAAAGTGCAGTTGTTTGGGTGTTCAAAGTAGTTTCATCCACAAAAACAGCACCCCAAAGAAAAGATGTTCAAAAGGTTGGAAGCCTGGAAATACGTTTCATGCTTCTTTTTTGGAGGATTACCAAAAGCAAAGCCAGATATGAGGCACTGTCTCTTTGCGCCCTGAAAATTGAAACGCCTGAGGAAAGACCATGTGCAGCTGCTAGTGAGCTTGGCAGGTGGGGAAACCTGATGTGATGAATGGATAGGATAGGATGCGATAAAGGATGAAGGCAACCCCAACCCAGTAAAAAGTTACCAAAAGGTATGAGTGTAATTTAGGGAACTGATTCACCCTACAAAACTTGGCAACTCTTAGTAAAGCATCGGATTTTTGGGGGGTGGCCTTACTGGTGCTTAGCAGGGAATTTTCGGGAATGATCCATTTCATCACTAGTAGTAATCATTTCATTCCCCCATTGACATCCATTCCCTGCTAAGCACCAGCAAGTAAATGAAACTTACCCTCTGGTAATTTAACATAGCTATTGAAAATTGCCATTTATAGTGAGTTTTCCCATTAAAAATGGTGATTTTCCATAGTTATGTTAGTTTACCAGAGGGTAAACTTAAAATAGGAATATGAGGATGATAGGCCCCCAAAGATCAGCTTCCATCAACCTTGCTTGGAGAGAGGATCATGACGCAAATGGGCAATAGGCAATAGAAGTGCCATCCATTTCAAGATGGCGAAATATGTAAACTCAATGGATTGGTTCAAGGGAAAATCTTAACCGGAAACCATTGTTTTTACCATCAAATATAGGTTTTCCTGTAAAATTTCCCATAATCCAATTCTATGATAAATATAACATCTCAAGAATATCCTACCAATTTTGAAGTTGTATTTTACTTGCTAGTCTCAAACTGGTTGGTGGTGACTGGAACATGAAATTTATTTTCCCATTCAGTTGGGAATGTCATCATCCCAACTGACGAACTCACTCCATCTTTTTTTTCCAGACGGGTAGGTATCCCAGATGCGGATGTATGGAATATTTAGCAAGATGTGCCCTAAAAATCAGCCAAATGTAGGTAAATATACCATGCTAGTCTCAAAGATACGTCATTTTTTGTTTTCGCCCTGGAAACTCTGGTGATGAACTTACGGAGTCTCAGGGATCATCGGGCGATCGTCGCGATCAGGCTTAGTCTTAAGGAAATCAAAAAAAGGTTCCCCCCTACGAAAATTTACCATGACTCAATGGATTGGTTTAGGGGAAAAATTTAACCGGAAACCCCCATATTTAATGGATTTTAATGGTAAAAACCATGGTTTCCGGTTAAGATTTTCCCTTAAACCAATCCATTGAATCACCATTTTTCTGGAAAGACCATAGAGTTTTCGTATTCTATGATATGGGATTTACCAAGGATGTGGTAAATCCTTTATCATAAGATACTAAAACTGCATGGTCTTTCCAGAAAAATGGTAAAGATGGTAAATCCCCTCCTAAACCATGGTTTCCCTATAATGTGGGTTGAACCAGAATAAACCATTTTTGTAGGTGGTATTGTTTTACCCACAGTACTATAGAAGTTTCACCTTGTCCGAGGACTGGTGACGGCAATCTTCATCGGAGCGCTCTTGCCGTTGATCATCAGCACCTTGGAACCAGCAAGAACTAGTGGAAAATGCGGGTTTTGCCTAGAAAAATGGTGAAACATGAGGAGTTAACCAAGGAAAAATGATGAAAACATGTGGTTTATAGTAGGCCAAAAGCGTGATTTTTCACCAGTAAATCATGGAAATGGGTGTCTCTAAAAATGGGGCAGCGCCCAAGTCCAAAAGATCAGCATCAGTTTCCGCGATTTCAAAAAATGGCGATTTTGGGATATTGGCCCAGTCTTGGACAAGCCCAATGTTCGTTGACAAAACCGGCGAAATTGGTGTTTCCGACAGGCGATTTTTTCCAAAAAGGAAAGTCCTGTGGGTCATTCGATGCAGAAAATGCTGCAACCATGTCATCAAATTGGGGTATCCGATGTTCCTAGAAATGCGCATCCTGCACTGGATGGATTGTTCTTTTAGTAGC